CTGCCATTGTGTTTTTCTGACGCTGGATCTTGTACTGACACGATTAAGTGTTTTAGCTCAGAACCAGGCGCTCTGATACCAATTGAAGTGGTGAAAAACACAAGAAGGGGGGGGGGGTTGAATTGTAAAACTGAAATCTAAAGCAATTGACAAGATATTTTTATCCTGGTTCGTTTGATCTCAAACTACTCCAGTCCACCCGTCAAGGTGATTTCGCCTCTCTCCAACGAGGTCTTAATCCACTATATTCAACTGAATATTACAGACTGCTTTAACAACTGCTAAAGCCTTCTTGATTCAAACCACAACCCGGTTTGTCAAGGTAACACTTTCTTACAAAGAGATAAAACTATGTGTGTGGATGTTTTCTACAAAACTGTATCACAACTGTGATGTATACACAAAATGAAGCTTAGAAACTAGATTGCTAAACAGTAATGGAATATCAGAGTGTATGGTTTAGCAAAACTGGTAGAACGAAGATTATGGTTCAGCTTTTGTGCGTGTAGAGATTTTGAGAGCATTAACCATTTCAATCTTCAAAGCCTTGTTTATATAGCACTGAGATGATGAACGTTGGATGCAATATTCTTGATTCAATGCTAATAACAAACTTTCCTTATTGAGCAGATCTTGTCTGGAATGAAGCCGTTGGAATTAATTTGCTTTCAATGCACAGTACCGTTTCTTACTTAATGCAAGTTCTGGCTTGGCTCATTCTGATTCTGCTTCGCTGCTGATGAACTATTGTGTTTCTGTATCAGAGTGTTGAGCGCAGTCTTGTTCATCAGGCTTCAGCATGTACGTGAGTTGATCATCTGATTTTGACGTTCTGATGTAGCAACTTCTGATGCTGGTGTCTGAAATCAAGTTCTGATGCTGAATAGATGTGATCTTGCTTATTTCAATCAGCGTATCTGCAAGTCAGAACATAATAATTTTAGGCAGCAGATAGTTCATTCATGACACTTATAAATACTATATCTTTTCACTTTGTTATCATCAAAACTTAAATATAGGGTAGTAGATTCAAACATTGTTCTAACATTGTATGTTCTTCGAATGGACCACATACATCTAAATGTACCAATTCGAGTATGCGAGATGATTTCCTTTGCATAGTCGAAACGAAAGAATTTCTGGATTTCTTTCCTACTAAACAACCTTCACAAAGTTTTTCAGGCATCTCAAGACTTGGAATTCCAGTAACCATATCTTGAGTAATCGGTTGATTGAGTGATCGAAAATTTAAATGTCCAAACCTCAAATGCCACAACCAATTATCCTTGTGGTCAACAATAATTTTCAAATATTGAGCTTCAGTCGAACTGATCATAGTCTTAAATGTCCTTTTCTTCGACAACATGGATTTTAAGACCAATTTTTCTTAGTGTGGAACAATTTCAAAACTCCATCTTTCATGACAACTGAGAAACCTTTTTCGACTAGTTGTCCAACACTTAGTAAGTTGCACTTTATTCCAGGTACATAAAGCACATCTTTGATCATAGCTTTCCCTTCATTACTCAGTTGAAAGACTATAATTCTAGTACCTTCTGCTTGCAACGAACTATTATCAGCAAGTTTTACCTTGCTCTTCTTCGACTCATCAAAATCTGCCAACCATTCTTTTCGACAAGTCATTTGGTTCGAGCAGCCTGAGTCGAGAAACCAGATTTTGGATTCGACATGGTTATCTGCAACTGCAGCCATAACCACCATACCAGCTTCAGAATCATCTGAATCTTGGCGTGCAAGGTTCACTCCTTCTTCCTTTCTTGTCGATCCCTTGTCTTTTATGTATCAACAATTCTTGGCTACGTGACCCCACTTTTCACAGTTATAGCACTACACACCTTTTTTTATATCTTTTTTCCCTTTCAATATTTTCCTCATCCTCCTTTCGAGGATTGAGAAGCTCCATCTTCGACCTGATGTCTGTGAGGTTTCGACCAAGACTTCTTTCCTTGAGTCTTGTCGAACTTGCCTTTGAATTTTTTGAAACCATCATCCTTTTTCCATGACTGAGCTTGCAGAGCCTGTATCGAGTCTTGTACTCCTTTCCTTCGACAATCTTCATCTCATGCGCCTCCAACGAACCAACCAAATCTTCCACTTTAGTGGTTTCAAGATTGTTAGATTCTTGAATATCTACGATAACATGATCAAAGTGAGAGGTCAACATTCTTATTACCTTCTCAACTATCATCTTATCAGTTATGGTTTCACCATAACCCTTCATGAGATGGATGAGTTTTTGAACCTTTGACACATATTCTGTAACTTTTTCATCTTCTCCCATCGACAACAACTCATATTGTTGACGCAAGGTTTGTAGCTTGACAAACTTGACTTTCTCACCTCCTTTGTAATAATTCATCAGAATATCCCATGCCTTCTCCAACGTTTCAGCATGAGAGATTCTGTCAAAATTAACAGCATGGACCGTCGTCTGAATGCAATAAACAACCTTGTAATCTTTCTTCTTGACTTCGTTATGGGCTTTTTTTCTGTTTGTCAGTTGCATTTGCAGCCAACGCAGGAACGCCGTATGTAACAAGTTTTAGGGTTTCATGGGAGTCAAACAAGGATTGCATTTGTTTTTCCCCACCGAATCTAATTCTTGCCATCAAGCATTGGAAGGGAATTCAGAATACCCTTATCAGTAGTCATCTTTGCAGCGGTTGATTCACTTGCCCTAGAAACACGATCTTTGACGTGAAATTCTTAAAAACTCGATCAAGAACAATAACCGAAAACTCTGAATACCAATTTGTTAGTGCGTGAGACACCTTAGTGAGGAGAGAAAGAGGAAATAATAAATGAAATAAGAATTTATATTATTGAATTGTACAAATAATGATATTGATTAAGACTATTTATATACAATCCTAATTGAGATTAAGTCTACACAACTGAATTATATTTAAATATTAAATCTAATCTAATCTAATATTTTAACAAATCTAATTTAATATTTCAATGATTTCTAAGTTCTCAAAATTTAATGATGTCCAATCTTAATTCATTTTGTTATTAGTAGTTTTTTTAGAATGTGGATAGAAAATGCCCTCACATATTATCTTTTGATGCTTATACTTTTTGTTTATTACCTAATAATGCATGAGTTGTTTATAAAAAAAAAGAAGCTTGAATTGTTGATACATGGGCTTGAAATCAGATGAGAAGAAATTTAAGATCATACAAGGATGCGAAGGATGTACAATAATGTCCTGTAGGGATGCTTGACAGATAGAAATTTAGTGCAACAAAGAATAAAATGAAAACTGTTTGATAGAGGAATGAAATTGAGCAATGTGTTATATATAACCTAAATTGAATTGTAGAATGATATTTTGTGACCCAAATAATAGATGAGACATATTGTACAGTGTAATTTACTGATTCTTTATGTGTTATGCAAGACCGCACTTCGATGATGCTTATTGGATTGGATTGGATTGGGTGAAACAATAAAATGGAAGCACCTTGTGCTTTGTTGAATTTTATTGCATTAGTAAAAAAACAATATGAAATGTTTAGAATGAGTCGAAGTGACAATGTAACTAAATTCACATATTTACTAACAATTTAATGAATGTGGAATTAATATTCTTTGTTTCCTTTATTCTGGAATTGATCTTGTTATTATTAAAACAAGTAAAAATTGTTGTAAATTATTAACAATTAGTAACTTTGAGTGTGTTGTAAAATAACAAGAAAATATATTAGTGAAGGTTAATTTTGAATTGAGAAATATGTAACAATTCTGAGTGTTGAAGTAGTAAATTTGTATTTTGAATTTGAAAATAACATTTTCTGAAGTGTTGAAGTAGTCTATTTGTATTTTGAATTCAAAAATAGGATGCGAAATAGTGCAACGTTTAAAACTGTTGTTGTAGGTGAAACAATACAACATTTGATAAAAGTGTTCTTGTAGTTGAAATAGTGCAATATTTGATAAATTTGTTGTTGTAGGCGAAATATTACAACAAATAAAAGTGTTATCGAAAGTGTGTATTTCATCAAGGTCGCAATCTTGTGAACCAATACTATTTTGTCCTATAAATTGAACATTTTAGAATCAGAAAAATACATTAGAAAAACCTATCATCTACACTCAAAATTCTGGACTTCATCTTTCATATATTTGAGTTTTCAACGATATTAGGCAAACTCGAATATAAACTGAATTATCGTAAATATTACTGTATACAAACTCTAAAACAATTTAAGTAGACTTGAAATAGTATTAAAAAAAGGTGATTTGTTCATCTCTACCCTGGATCCATTTAATTTGCAATTAATTTTGGCAACATCTCATGTATGAATGGGACAAAAATGAAAGTAACCTTTCCATGGATGGACTGAAATTAAATACTCCCTCTGGTCTCATTTATAAGAAAAAATTAACTTTTTAGATACATTAAATAAGTAATGTATTTGGACAATATATTGTCCAAATACATTACTTATTCAATGTATATAAAAAGTTGATTTTTTCTTATAAATGAGACCAGAGAGAGTACCTCATTAGTAGGTACTTCAAACAAAATTCAAGTAAGAATTGATGTAACATTCACCCTTCGCCACATTGTCATTCAAGTCAAGTAATAAACTATTGAAAATTCCCAAAATTATAAAATGAAAAATCCATTATCGCTATCAACATTTAAATTGATCTCAACAATTAACGCACAAAAAGTCAGATTTGAAAATTTGAAAATTTGGAAGAGTCTAAAGTTGACTTCATATGCTTCAAAAATGAACTAATTCATGATTTTCTTTCCATTTTCCAACAACTTATCAATTACAAAACAAATCTAGAACTGAAATACACAACATAAGTTAAAATGATATATATCACCTCAAAATGTTGCTCTACATTTGGTAAGAGATTTGATGCCGACGACTTTCATAACAATTCCTTTCGCAAAAAGAGGCATAACAGAATCAATAATATATGCTACATTTGTTGTATAAGCTAAGCTCCTAAAGCTTTAGCCCGACCTAACCGGTTTCTGAAGAACCGCAGACAACACGACTACGGGTTTACCCGATCCAAAACTATCAACCTTTTCGCCCACAACCCATTTCAATTTCTTATAACCAAACCTTTCAATCAACCTTGTAAGAGTTTGTTTCTTCTCTTCACTATCACAAAAGAAATTATCAAGCCAAAACAAACCCCCGGCCCTCAAAACTCGATCAATATCAAACATCAAAAACTCTAACTTCTCCGCCTTTCCTCCACCAACATCCAACGCACTCGAAGCATGAATCAAATCAAACACATTGTCGTAAAACGGAAACCTATGATCTAAGCTCAAGTAAATCGGAAAAAGTCCTCTAGCAGCAATGAATTCACTAAATGGTGCATCAACATTAAGAGTATTTGTAATCACAGTAACATTTCTATCAAACATTCTAGCAGCAAAAGAACCAGAACCACCACCAATATCAAAACCTACCCTAATTCCACCATTTCCTAAACCTAAAACATCATCAATCAAAAAATCATTTTTACTCTTACCCTTCAAAAACCTTTGATTCTCAATTCCACCATTAACCAAATCAAAACAATTAACACAATCTCTACTCAATTTCTTACCTTTCAAACCACTCCAATTAAAAGTGTTATTACCATTACCAAGAGGCTTCCATAGAGAAACAGGTAAAGGAAAAAACCCTAATTTTGAAACAGTTTTAGAAAAACACCTTCTTCTTGGCAATGGCTCACACCCTTTTAAGATCAGTTTCTGAGCTAAACTCCAATCATCAGGACAAGTTCCAGAAAGCTTGTAATTCATGAACTGTGACACCAAGTCTGAATTTTTCTCACAAGAATGACCAACAGATGCAACCATTTCAGTGACCCCAGTTCTAGAATCTTTACCTAGAGGAAGTTGATGGCGCTGGAGGAAGATTTTCAGCTCATTAGCAATGTTGGGTCTTGAAAGATCAAATCTTTCATAACCAAGAAGCTGTTTTTCCATCTGGGCTAGTTTCTTTTGAGACAAATCAATCTCTCTGAGAATGAGTGACACTTGTTCTGAGACAAGAGAGATGTTCTTGTTGTGAATAACGTTGTAGTCGGTGTTGTGGTTTTTTGAGGAAGAAGATGATGAAGTGAAAGCATAGAGAGCAAAGAGATTCGTTGTGATGACACAGAAAATCATGAGAATGTTAACAGCTGAAGAACAAAGTGATGCTCTTTTGAATCTTGCTGTTCCATCACCGATTTTCAGAGAAACTGAACCCATTTTTGGTGAATCAGTGAAGTAGATTTGGATCAGTGAGGAAGATAAGCTTGGTTTCAAAGAAACCAAAACATTTGTGTCGGTTTGTGTTTGTAGGTGTAGCAATTTTTAATGTTACTATTTTATGTAAATTAATGAGAAATTAAAATCATATTAATGTGATTTTTTTTTTTTGTATAAACACTTATTATGAGATCTATAATCATTCTATTATTAATATAGTAAAAAGAGATCTATTATTAATTTATCATCAATTTGGAATTTTTTATTATTTGTGTAAAAAGAAAATGTATGCCAGCTGTCATGTGTGAATTTAATAAATGTTAGGTGAAAAAAAAAATACTAATAGTACTACTTGCAATAAAAGTGAATTATTATCTCAGGTGAATAATTTGTGTGATATTATTAATGTTGAAAAATATTAGTTAAGGAAAAATTGTTAAATTCAGAATTTAATGAAAAAAAGGAATTAAAAGAATTAATGACAAGTCCTATGTATTTAGAGTCTTTTATTAATAAGTTTTTTATTTTATTTTATAAAGGAGATTTTTATTTATAAAATGAAAATAAAATATTTAAATCAATGAATTTCATTAAACAAAGGAGATTGTTATTAATGCCATAAAATATTTTTCAACCGAAAATGTATTTTTTAAATTTTATAATTAAAGTTATAGTTTACAATATTTCAATATTACATTTCATTTCTTATAAAATGATTTTTTTAAATAAAAGAATATTTCTAGATTTTTATTTTCATTAAACAAAGATATATTTTTTGTCAAATGATTTAAATAAATTACTAGTATTACTTTGGGGAGTGTTATGCGATAGTGCACACCTTAGATCAGGAACCAATGCAAATAATAAATAAATAATATAGCTCATAAAAAATGCAAATAATAATGAGATCTAAAGGTCAAACTTTTGTCAAATTACAACAATAATTGAAGCCTTTTCAAACTCGTTATCAGATTTTATATATGTGTTACTTTATGCTAAAGAAAGTTGGAATAATTAAAAGAGTGTTGGCTAAATTTTTTATAAAGGGTTAAAATTCAATCAAAAGTAAAAGATGTTTTTTTTGAATATTTTAAATTATAGGAAATTGATCACAGAAGCAGTTGATTCGAAGAAATTTTATAAAAGGTTAATTTAGACTTGTGGACGCAGTCGACCAGAAAAGAGATCAATAGATTGGGTCCAGGAGTGTTAAAAAGTCCAAAAGAGGGCCTAACTAGCAAACACAAAGCGTTGTGAATGGAGAACGTGAGTTCGATAGCAGGAATGAAGAACGTGAGTTCGATAGCAGGGATGGAGAACGTGGGTTCATGGATGCAAATAACAAGAGACACGTGACTCATAAATAAGCGAAACCCGCTGAAAAGTTGTTTTTTCCATGTATTATAAATAACGCACTTAGTGCATAGTGAAAGGGGTTCAAACTTTCACATTCCTACACGCTAGTCACTCAGAGTACCCAAGCGTACGAGCGAAATGAGTCAAGCAAGGGTGATACATGTTTGAATCAACCCATTTTTAACTATTCTGATGTTATGTCATCTATTTTTATAATTTAAAACGTCTTTGTTTTATAGTACAATTCATGCTTTATTGCTTTTAAATCAGTTTCTCCTTAGTCGAACGAACCCTTTTGAACATACTTTTTAAAAACACTCGAAAACTGAAGCACTATACTGAGATTCCCTGGTCGATCTTGCCAGTAAACTTTCTGTTAAGAGCCCAATGTTGTTTACCAAAACCATAGGTAAACAAATTGGTACACCTGGTGGGACAGTGCTAATAATTTCGTATTTCGTGTGTAGTTTTACAAAGTTTCTTATAGTTGGTGTGTGTATGAATTTAAGAAGTGGTAAACTTTTGTCCAAGTCTAAAATGCCACGCTCTGACACAAACACGACACATATGCAGATTTCTATACAAAATATGGATGTCATATCAATAAGTACCACAACTCAAAGCGTAACAGTTTTATCTCCCGTAAGATCGATCGTTGTTCATGGTTCATGGACAACAGTCACAATGACACAACCTAGGAATGGGATATCGCCATTTGACCCAAATCGACCACTCTTTTCAGGGGGTCCAAGGTCATCATTTTTCCCTTACCAATATGGTATGCCTTATTCCATGAGGGTTGGGTTATAGTCGAACCCGGTCACATATATACAAAATATAGTGGCCACTGGAGACCAAGGCAGTTATGTCCCAAGTGGTCGACCATGTGGTGTTAGTTATGTCCCACAGTCGGCACCGTCTTTGAATACTACTTCTGTTATGGATTTAAGGCAACAGATGGATGAGAGTAATTTAGAGTTAGTAAACGTCTTAACTCAACAAATGAGAGTCACTCTCAATCCTGTAGTTGACCAAATAGGTAGATTGATTGATTCATTAGGGGTCCAACCAAGTCAAACACGCCACGGGCTGTTGAGAGTTTTTGAAGAACTAGAGGGGGGCAATAATGAGCATTCTTTTAGACATCGAAGAATGGAAGCACCCACTTATAAAGAGGAAGAATTCGTTGAACAATACGAACCTAGGCCAATCGTAGTTAGGAGAAACCAAGATGTTGGTCGAGTGCTAAGAAATGCCATCGCTGGGCGTAATAACATGGTGAATATGGTCGAAGAAGTATTAACATGATTTGGAGTAAATGTTGGCCTCCAAAGGCCCAACTACTCTTCACCCTTGCCTGATTACATTCAACAGGCATAATTACCTAGGGGATGTAAGGTACCTAAATTTACCAAGTTTACTGGTGATGCTAGTGATTCGACCATAAAACACATTACTAGGTATGAAATAGAAGCTGGCGATATCACCAACAGCGAGGGTTTAAAATTAAGATATTTTTCTAATTCATTGATAAAAAGTGTTTTTACTTGGTTTGCGATGTTGACTCCAAACCCATATGCACTTGGGAACAACTTGAGGGTATATTTCATGAGCAATTTTATGATGGTCAGCCTAACATAAGTTTGAAAGAGTTATCCTCAATCAAGAGGAGGTTGTCTAAGTCAATGGAAGATTATTTAAATAGGTTTAGAGTCTTAAAGTCTAGATACTTTACTAGAGTTCCTGAATATGAGCTGATCGAAATGGCCGCTGGGGGGCTAGACTATTCTATTAGGAAAAATTTTGATCCTCAATCTATTATAGATATGTTCCAACTAGCTGATAAAGTTCGATATGTTGAACGTTTGAAGAAAGAGAAATCTAGGGTGTCAAAGGACCATAGAAAAGGCAAAATTGCATATGTAGACACATAAGATTATTCCATAGAGTCTGAGGATGAATACATGGAAGAAGGAGAAGTTAACATGGCTTAATTGAAAGTTAGACCTTCGTATGCATGTAAACCTATAAGACCGCCAAAAGGAAGGACAATCGAAGAACCAAAAAATAATGCGTCTAGTACTAAAACATATAATTTTGATGTGTCAAAATGTGATGAAATATTTGATGTTTTAGTTTTAGATGGTCAGATTATAGTGCCTCCAGGAAGTAAAAATCTACTGTTAGAGCAGATACAAAAGAGAGGTTTTTGCAAGTATCATAATTTTTTAGGTCATAACACTTCTCAATATTTTCTTTTTAGGGATTTTATTCATAAAGATCTGTAAGATGGTCGATTGAAATTCGGTGAGAAACCAAAAAGATCCATGAAGGTCGACTTATAACCTTTGCATATTGCTGATGCACACTTTGTCGAACCATTGGAAGTGCTGATGATCGAGGCTAATGATGGTCTCGAAGGAAAACAGGCGGGCATTATCAATTCACTCGTAACATTGACAATCAAGAACACTAATGGTTTTGAGAGTGAACAAGCTGCGACCGCTGATCCAATGATAGCTACAACACTCGAGTTTATTGAAGGTCTTAAAAGTGGCAAGAATAACCTGTCTAAGCCACAAGAAGTGATGGTGGTTGATATTGATGAAGATCCTGAAGTTAACCAAGACTACACAAAGAAAATGGATTGTGAAACTAAAAATGAAGAATTGTCTGAAGAAATAGTTGTTCAGTTAATAAAGGTTGGTTTTCCCAAACATGAAGAGGAGTTGGTGGATTTTCTAAATAGGTGCAAGCTAGGTAATTCCAGGTCCATGTTATGCCCAAATTGCAACGTAGTCTATGATGAAAATGTTGCGAAGAAAATTCAAGTACTAAAGAATAAACACCCTCAAGAGAAGTATCCAAAGGTGGTGTTAGACCATGCAAAGGGGGCATATGTAGCAACTGGTTTTTAAATCAGGAGTCGCCACTATTAGTTTTTATCCTAGGGAAGGGGACCTAACAGAAAACCCTAATCCATAGACTGAGATTCTAGGTTTCAGACTCAGTTAGACGAAAGGAAGGTGTTAGGCACCTTTGGTCCACCTTGTTCACAAGGATATTAAGCTCTAGGTTTAGGTTTGGGGTAAGCAGAGTTTTAAGTTTTAATTAGCAAGACTCGCCACGATTTTAGATCGTGTGCCTATGTATCCTCTTATGAGGAATCAGAGTCTCAATTCGTAGTTTGTATGGGTTGGTGTCTTTTAGGGGTTTGCAAACATATTTTGAATCACTTCGCACTCGGTCGGGAGTAGTGATTGCGGAGATTTTGACTAAGTGCGCAGTAAGTCAAAATTAGTTTGAAACCCATTTGCAAAAAAGACTGTCGATTAAATTAATTTGTTCGCGAAAATAGTTTGAGATTTGTTTGTGTTTTTTAATAATATTAACTGCAAAAAGTCTTGATTAATGCATGATAAAAATATTTTAATGCAAATAATATATAAGATAATATATGTGATTTTAATATGCAAATAATTTATTTGGTGGTATTATAATATTTACATATAAAAAATAATAATATTTAAAATATGGTCATAAAAATTAATAATAATAATAATAATTATTATTATAAATAAATAAAAAAGAGAATAAATAATTAATAAAATATAATATAAAAAAATAATGTAAAAAGAAATAAT